ATTGTATTGGTATTAATATAGGATCGCGGTTTTATCTTCACATGTTGCCCTTTGTGCAATTCGAAAATGAAATATTTTAATCTATAATTTATATATCATTTGCAAAATAAATGTAATTAAGAGACATGGGGGAGGGGGGGGGTTAACGGCCAGAATTTGGAATGAATTTGGGAATTTCAAGGATTGATTCACTTAATGCTGTTCACTGGAGTCGATACACACACCTGCATAACAATCGGAGACAAAACTGACTTAATCTGATATGATAACAAAAGATTAATAACTTAGTCTATGTTTTTGTTTTTATAATTGCGGAAGTGTACCAAAATCACCTTGATTACAGAAGATATCGTCTAGGCTTTAGATTTAATGAATAGATTTTTTGCCCTAGTCTCATTTATAAAACAGGCTATTTGCGTATTTAATTAATATTTGTGACAAAATATTTCAGTTAGACTCAAAATCAAAACGAATTTCTCCATTATAGCCCCCCTCGCAACTGTCCCGAGTCTGCATCTGTTTTTCATGCTTCCGATCCACCTTTGGGATAGAGAGAATAGATGTAGATTTGTAATTTGGGGGGTGGCATTAAATGTGTTCTCATACAAACTAAAATAAACCCCAAAAAGCCATATCAAATGTCCAAACACAAGACCAATGCCATGTCAAACATCCAAATATAAAACCAATGCCATACCCCCGGATACCAAATATCCAGAATATAAGACCAAGGCCATTCGAAATATCGAATGCCCCGAGAAGAAGGCAGATCTTTGAGTAAACAACCTCAAATGAAGGATATGTGTAACAACTAGACCAATGCCCCGGGACCAATGCCGTACCACAATTGAGGGGTAACATATTTTCCACACCGACTCTTATACCAGAAAATGGAAAAATCTGTCTTAAAATGTGGGTCCATTGGCTTGACATACCAAATGTAAAAAAGGTACCCCACCTGAGCCGAGTGTGAACCCCCGGGGTGAATGGTGAACACACGGGGCAAGGAATTCTTCGATTTTGATTCAAGTAATTTTTTTTATAAAATTCATACTCATGTTAATAGCGGACGCCTTGGCCAAATAATCTTTCAAATCATGCACTTTCCAAGTGTTTTGTAGCAAAATTGTGATAATATATGAACCCCTTGGAATTATTCAAAGACGGACCCCCGCCAGCCCATCCCCCATTCTTACCTATGCTAAACACTAAGAAAATATATAGAATGGTATCTTACACTTTTTTCTAAATGTTGATATCCAAAAAACATATCTTTTTGGTTTATCAACACATACCGCTCACAATATAACAAGTATACAGATTGTAACATAGATAAGCGAATTGGGGAAAATTACAATCCCTTTGATCAAATTATTATAAGATTTAATCTCCAGCTGAGGTGCAATCAAAATGTTGATACACATAATTAGCAGTCAGAAAGATGCTCTTACCACTGTAGTTTTCAATATTCCCTTTGTTCTAACATCTTATTTCAAAAGAATGGATATTGATGGTTGTATGGAAGTATTCATATCAAACATTCACATTATAGTTTACAGTGGAATTCCCTCCATAAATGCAACATATTTACCATTTAAGATTTCATATTGGACTTTCCGCATAATGATAAAATGTTGACGATATAGGTTTCGATAAAACCCCAGGGCCGTAGCCAGCTTTCAGTCGGGGGGACGGGTGATGCAATCACCAAAATATTTTAGGTTTTCAGTCGGGGGGTGCGATCGTGACATAAATGAGGCAAAAAATATTTGTTTTGAATTTTTACGAAAATGATGCAACTTCCTTCAAACCTGAGCTAGAAGCTTCAGACAAAAAATCAATTTAATGCTCTTTTCTTCCTCTAACTTATGGTACCTTTTATTGCTTGTAGGAGGGGGTGCGAACCCATCGCTTCTCCTCGTTACGCTTATAAACCCAATAACGTATTCCCAAGGAATCGACTTTATTAATTTATATGTGAAAAATGAGCTTGCATGTACAAATTGCATCGTATGCAAACCTTCCCCTCACCGACCCGGTCATGTTTATGTCTTTTGAATGATGTCTACCCCTTGATGCATGCATCCTTTAATAAGTGGTGTTAAGAATATTGGTGTAGGCCCTGGTCAATATCTCTAGATACGCAGAGTTTCTAGACCGGCTAAGCACGTCTAAAAATTACTAGAAATTCCACAATTTATACAGTGATATGGATTTCATGTTTCTATTGAATGCCTTATTTTGAAGTCTAGCTAAATAATCGAGTTTGATTTTAAACGTTTTCGGGGATCCGGGCAGAACTCAGGATATAGTACTTGAGTACATTTGCATTCAAAATAATTCAAAATTGCAAATATCATGGAAGTTGATTGCAATTATGTTCGATGATCGTCAACATGAAAGAACAATATGTCTGAATAATTAGCTATTAAACATCTTTATCAAAACTTTCCTACACTTTTAAATGTTGATCTTGTCAAAGAGTACTCTCCATCTGAGATTCAGATGTAGATCGAAAATCAAATTGATTTCAAAGGTATTTATAGATGGTTTACATGAGGGGTTCTGTCCATGTGGGTGGTGTATTCCTTTCATAACAAAGAGTTGTTTTGCTTCCGGGGTCCTAAATTATTCAATTTTAAATAGTAACTAATAAGATTAAACAGATCAAAAAGACTCGGGGCACTGCCGTCGCCCCATCATGATCAATACAGGTGACAATAAGCGACACATGTTTCAGCGTCATGATAGTAAACCATGACATCTCAAATCTTCACAGCCCTTGATTTTTGAGATCTTTCATCCCAGCTCATATTTCATCTAATTGGGGTCATAAAACTTGTGTAACTGTGCCTGTTGCATCCTCGCTGGAAGGGTATTTTACAAGTATAAATGAAGTCCTTTGAAGAAGGATGTGCCTGTTGTTAAATACATGTACAATGCCTTACTACATTATGTAATGTATTGACATTAAGGTAGATGATTACATGATAACAATCACACTTATTGACATTCATAACTCTTCCCATCTGATATGCTCAGATCACAGAATATGCCTCATTATATCAGAGCATGTTTCAGGCGTTTCAGACCCATAGCCAGGATTTGCCAAGGGGTGGGTTACTTTTTTAAGAAATTCCAGGGGGAGTTTACTTTTGGCAATGTTAGTTCAAAAATGAGCAAAATAATTTAAAAGGTGCTCAGTATGGGGTAAAAAATGCAATTTTGGTCACGGAGGAGGGGGGTCGCTAGAACCAATCTATCCCCCCTGTATTCGGGCCTGCATGTGCTATCTACATATCCCGGGGGGTTCACTATATATAAACCTTGACGGGGATCCTCGGCGCATGTGGGGTACCTTTTTCAACGTTTGGTATGGCAATGGACCCATATTTTAGGATTTGGTATGGGAATGCCCGGAAATTTCTGACTTCTGAGGTATGGCAATGGTCGGACTTTTCCTCTTCTGGTATGAGAATGGTCATTGTAGATACGTTACCTAACATTCGTTGTATGGCATTGGTCCAGTAGTTGCAAATTTGAAGTTGTTTTGGATCGTCTCCCGAAGTATCTTCTTTTCCAGGGCCTTCTTCAACTTTTGAATTTTAGCCCTTGGTCCCACATTTGGTATGACATTGGTCCTACATTTTGACATTTGGTATGGCATTGGTCCCATAATTGGGCATTTGGTATGGCATTGGTCCTATATTTGGACATTTGGTATGGCATTGGTCCTATATTTGGACATTTGGTATGGCCTTTGAGCGTTATTTTGGTTGGTATGGGAACATATTGAAATTTGACAGATTGGTATGGGAACATATTGATATTTGAGGCTTCAGCCTAGGACCCCCGTCGAGTTTTATATACAGTGAACCCCCCGGGCTACATATTTGACAATTGATAATTTGATTGACACGGTTCAAAGTGGACTTTGTTAATTATTCAAACTGTTTTAATATCTAGGAATATGCGTCCAAGTTAAAATCACTCGAAATCAGGGTAGATAAACCTAAGAAAAACACATTTCGTGTTTTCATTTGATCTTTAACATGATCCTGTAAAAATGTCAGATTTAGCAAAATACATAGGCGATCTCCATCTGTACACATCTACTCATTCCGACTAAGCTATTGCCTATACTTACACGCACACGCATACTTTTAAATTAATTTTATTTTGATAATGATTTAAAAAACACAAATTATTATTAACACGAAATTAAAATGATTGTTATATTCCAATCCTAGTAAAGTATAATTAAGCGCGACTATAGGGCATAACAACATGTGGTCAGTCTAATTATACCGTTTGTTTTGATAAGGCTGTGCAAAGAGATATCAAAACTCTTGACACGCTCTTTACACGCGAGGTCTTTGCACCTCTTGACACGTCTTGGAATCTCTAGATACGCGGAGTTCCTAGACTATCTTTGCACGTCTAGAAATTGCTTGGAATTTCACATTTGACGCAGTGTTCAATGAATCCAATCAGAACGTCTACTAATCCACATGATACATCATAATTAAATTGCTTTTTTAAAGCGGATATTTCATACCATAACCCCAAAAATATTATAGAACGCATTGTATTTGTATTTTACTTCACACAGACATATTTGTGTATATGTGAAATAATTATATTACTTGAATTTTTTATTCCCCATTACAAGGTAAACCTATAGCAAATTATACAGCCTTCTCACAGCTGTGAGCGAGATGATAAAACTGGTCGAGTGAACTCGTTTGACTTATCTATTCTCCGTAAAAATATCAGAGAATGTGTGTTTATAGCGTAGCTTTAGTTTTGTAAATCAATGAAGTATGATATACACGGATGAGTAAATATAGATTATTTAAACAGAAGAGCAAAATTCTTCAATTGAAAAGTACAGAGGCGGGTACTCACGAAACATTACATGTGCCTGACTGCATCCACATAGATCGACTAGCCACAGTGTTGAAATCATAATACTAGGCTTAACACTTATATCATTTCAGCTAAGCCCCCATACACACCTAAGCGCTATGGCCAGTGCCCTCATACTCGAGATGGTGATGACTGGGTGGGGTATGATGTGTCTTGTTACCTCTTCAGACCAAAGGTATCTAATGTAATCTATGAAGCTATTTTTACTTTAATATCCCGGGCACAATATTTTTGATTATTTTCCACACAATATCAACAATACGATGATTATCCCAACGAACGAAGTTCGTTAGGGATATAGTGAAGCCCTCCGTCCGTCCGTCTGTCCGTCAGTCCGTCAGTTAGTCAGTCAGTCAGTCCGTCCGTCTGTCCGGAAGATAACTCAAATACTAGTTGACAGATTTTCTTCATATTTAGTGGAAAGATGTATATTGATGAATAGTTTTACGCAAAAAAAAAATTTTTCAAGATGGCCGCCGCTTTAAAAATGACGGGACTTTTTCGCAAAAATCATAAATTTTTCATTCTAAACCAAAGTAGTTAATATTATTGTTTGAAATTTTGGAAGTGTATTCACAACATTTATCTATTTCACATATATTCCGTGTTTTTCATCCTGACCCCCAGGGGCCATGTATGGGGGAACAGGAAAACAGAAATGTTCGCTAATTTTAAGATCTTTCTGAAGTATAGCTTTATTATACTCAAATGAAAGGCAATTAAGAGTAGATTGCAAATATTGTGTCTTTTTTCTGATTCGAGCCTTGTAAAATTCAAAATGGCCGTCTAATGTACGATTTTGCAATAATTTTTCGATCCCTTCAAAGTATGGCTATATTATACTCAAATTGAAGGAATTTTGGAGTAGATCACAATTATGGTATTATTTTTCAGATTTGTACCTCAGAAAATTCAAAATGGCTGCTTTGCAGGAATTCGCAATTCTAAAATCTAATTTTTTCATTTTCAACCAAAGTAATGAGTATAATTGATTGGAATTCGGTAATTGATGTTTTGTTCGTTGGGATTTGCTACTCCGCGGAGTTGCCGTTATTATAACGATGTCTTACTACAGGAATCTCTGAGCCACGGTGATGCTGAAGTGGCCTGCCAAGCTTTAGATGCAAGATTGGTGTCAGTCCACAGTGATGAGGAAACAAATTTTATAGTTTCAAGACTGGCGAAGACCATCAGCTACACTTGCTGGGTTGGACTTATGAAAAGTCTTTCTCGTGAGTTAAATGACATTGAGATCACCAGAGTCACTTGAGACCAGAAAAATGATTACTTAGAGAAAAATTCCTAATGACCAACACAAATATATTATGTCATTGTAATAAAGTATATTGGACAATATAATACAATTAAATGAACAGCATTTTGAAAAAAATGGAGGCCAATCACAGTGTTGGGGTAACTATTATTAATGGGAAATGTCACTTGTTTTGTTGCGCTGTGATTATCAGACCTAGATGCTTGTCTTCATTTTAGGTGGCTACCAATGGAAAGATGGTTCTGCGGTTGAATATACCAACTGGGGCGAGAATCAACCATCTGATGTTGACGGAACACAAGATAAGAACTGTGTTCAGATGTGGCTTAGCGGCAAGTGGTCTGACGTACAATGTACCGCTTCCAGGGGATATATTTGTAAACGTGACCAGATTAACGTCAGCAAACGTAAGTACCATTCAAAACGAACGGAATATTTTTCTAATGAAAATATGTTTGATTTTCATGAATCATTGTTTAACAACGACGACAGTATCGTTTTAAACGTATTTGTCAAATATGTTTTTCATATGTTATGTAAGATACGTAATCGTTATGCAACCTTGTGAAATCTTCCCTAGAACATGAACATAAAGTACACGGCACGTTGCAGCATAGGACGAAGATCCCTTAACATAAACATGACGTTTTTCCATTCTAGCTCCTCAAGGGGCAGCAGCTGCGGGTATAGCCATAGGCGTCTCAATTGCAGTAATAGCACTTCTAACTGGACTATATTTCGTGTGGAAGAAGAAGTTCTCAGGGGGTATAGCTAGTTATTTTGACAAGAAGCCACAAGCCGAAGGCTTTAGCCCAAGTGACATAGCAGTGCCTGATAAAACAACTCTATCCAATGCATAGCAATAATAACAATGCATGATGATGTAACAAAATGACTGTAATAACGCATAGTGGTTCTCCAAGGATGATTGGCAGCCGTCAAAGCGATTCAAACACGATCCTTCCTTGACGTTCGTGAAACAGTTTGGTAATGAACTTACTCATATGTTCTGGATGACTAGCACTGCCAGGGGATATTGTGTATTACTATAATATGCGTTATGTTCATCTTCCGACAAAATACCCTGTCTGTAGAAAAGCGATATCTACAAATGATATTATTACCAAATTGTTCCGTGTCAAGCAATTGATGATCAGGTTGATTTCATGACTGCCAAACCTCCTCGGTCATTTCTCTTGTTAACAAATAATGCACGATATTATTATATTTTACCGGAGTTCGATTGGCATATGAAGTAATTTCAATATACACTCACATCATTTCGACAAATTTTGTGCAATACTTCATTGAACTGTGATATTATTTTTATTTAGATAAGAATAAAAAAATTTAACAACATATAATAATTATTGATACGTTATGTTGGTTTGAAGTCATTACCAGTGCATCCAAATTAGGCAACACTTGTGTTGAGGCATCTTCAGTACTATTGCAAACTATTCTTTAGAAATATCACAAGAATGTTTTGCAAATCACCCGAAATATAAACGAGATTCTCAGACTGATACATGATCTGGCATTCTGGTACGCACGTATCTTCTGAATAAAGATGCACACCGTTGACAATATTGGTGAAAACATAAATCAGCTGAGATGGAACATTATTTTCAATAACATTTTATTTCAAATCATCATATAATGAGAAACCCGACACCCCGTTCTAATGATTTTCTATGACGAATTTAATCCAGTCAAATATTTTGAATATTCTCGTCACAATCGCCCTCCCGTCAGATGGTATTGGGTTCCAACTGCCAATCCCTTGGAGATGCCAGGCGCCATCTATTTCACATACAAGGGGTCCTCCCCCATCATCCTATAGTATAAAATATTTAACTTAGTGCACAAGTACTGCCATTTCATTCTGAACATAGCAAACCTCAGAAACCGTTGTATTGGGATATACAATGGTAATTACTGAATCACCAACATTTTCGCACATGGGATTCCTTTCTTGTGATGCAAAGAATGTATATTGTGTGGAAGACCAAAGAAGTAAAGTTCCCTAAACAATTAATGGCTTTTTTATTATTTTGAATGTAAGATTCACCTCGGCTGGTTCGGAATCATCGGTGGCCTTGGCGCATAAATGAACATCTTCCCCAGCTAGATGAGCTAAATCAGGCTCAACCTCCGACACATAATCCACACAGGATGCCTTGGACTCGAGTTCCATTGGTGATTGTAGCATTACATATCTATCAGTAGGCCCTACAACCAGGTATATGCTACACTTTCAAATAGATACACCACATGTAGCCGTAAAGAATTGTTTCCGGCAAGTAAAGCAATACAACATCTTTGTGAACTAAATAAGCAAAGTGATTCGCTAATGATGATGGAGTCGTAAACATGTAAAGGATTGGACCGTTTTTGAAGGAGATAGTGGAGAGGTTAAGCTAACGATGTTTTTCACAACGTAACCGTGAACTCAAAGTACAAAAATTAACAAAGGAATGTATCGAGCGCTCATAGTTTTATGCGCGCTTAGTCTACTTCAGATACTCTTTCAGCATCAGAGTTTCGGGTTTAGAACGGGATAATTTGAAATTTGACGTTGGGTCAACGGGAACCATTTTACTCGTGTCTATTGAACACTATGCTGTCAATTTTGATTTCGATGCACAGTTGAATTCTTGCTGAACACGATGATGTATGTCATGCATGATTTAGCGCCAAAAATCTTACGAAACGAGCTCGTTTAAAATATGTATTAGAAAACCAGCCATAAAACCGCATCAATGACATACTATAGAATCATTACACGCTATGGTGTAGTCTAAACAAACACTGGATTTGAACGGCTATTTATATGAGAAGGCTACATGAATTTTTATATGGTCGAGCGATACGTACAGGTTCAGTTTACCCTGCGCGCAGAGTCTAGTTAAACTACACTCTGCCTAGTAGAGACCATATTACAGTTTAGTAGCCCCGCCCGCACGACGGGTACCGGTGTCAGTTTAGGTAATATAAATCACTTCTGACCGTCGATTATATATGCAAAGCTTAACCTCTCCATTGGCAACTGTAGAAGTGTAAAATGTTGATTCCCGACATGTTAACAATATAATAATGCCATTGCCAATGTCACTGAAATTATAAAAATAGAAATTAGAATTAGGATGTTAATTTTTGTCATAAAATGTTGCATACTTTCAGACGTTTGCGTAGCCTTTTACGTTAATCTTAAACTCGTTTTATAAAGCGCATATACCTTACGTATCCGTAAGAAGCATACGGGTAGGGATGGATATACGTATATTTTACGCTTATCTTATACTTCCAAATAGCAACATTTACCCGTTGAGATTGACCACGCATAGTGCACACAAGTGCAACCCCCATGAATGTAATCGCGGACTCACATTTGATGGATATTATAAGGCTTCAATGGGTTGTCTGGGAGTGGAATGCAAAACTTTGGAAGGGGAGTGTAGGTTTTACCTTTTGTTCCCCAACCCGCGAAGAAACATCGCTTGTTTGAATATCTCATCGACTTTGGCTCAAGGTCGATATCCGAAATACAAGCAGGTTGTATTTTATGTGATAATGGAACTGGCTTAATCTTAATCAAGGCTATGTTGTATATCGGCCAGTACAAGATGTCATCATATGTTTTATTTGGATGGAAGAATACTTTCAGTGGTGTCGCGACAAAGTCATCAGGTTCTGCTCGCAGTGACAAGTTATATCTTCCAAGTCTGATGCCAATCGAATGAAGAAAGGTTTGTCCACCTCCAAACAATCGTGATTCTAAACTGAAAATAAAATTGGATGAGCGTATTTCGAAACTTAAAAGGAGGGTCTGCATTATTACTGTGGAACATTTGAAAGTATTAGCATAGTAGATTATTACAAAAATGTGAACTTTTAGAAAAAATGTGAACTTTTAATAGACCTCCACTCATCTATTTGCCAGTGGTGTAATAGTTAATATATTTACTGACGCTATTGCAAATTACAAAAAAAATAAAGAACACGTGATCCGAGTACCAAGACCATGGAAAATGATTAAGCGAGAATTCAATAAGATGATTAGATGGACTCACAATCTACGCTAAACAATGAGGAACATGGAATATGAAAGCACGCCAAATAAGGCTTAAAATGAAGTGTTATTTTCACGAAGCACTGCAACACAATTAGGTACATCAAAGGAACAAATAATACCTCACACTATAAAATAAAGCACACCAAACAAGCCCTCGCAATTCACATTATGGGGCACATTCAACAAAGATACATAATTCAAATTGAAACAAATACAATCGGAGAATAAACAATGAAGATCACCAAACAATGAAGATCACCAAACAATGAAGATCACCAAACAAAGCTCTTTGAACTACTTTGAAGCAATCCTATTTTAAATATGGGGCAAGCTGGACTAAGGCTGCATGAATTTTCAGAATATGTCCACAGCATATAACATAAAATACTTACTGGACTTTCCATTCAGAAACACAAGCTTTGCTGGTTATAACCCAACTGGGATGAATCAGTGCTCCACCACAGTAAACTGTCTGAGGTGGTCGTGTAGCTCTCGTCTCCATGACAAGTGCCATCCACGGATGAGCATCTCGTATTATTTCCGTCCCATTCACTATCCTCTTTTTCCTTTTACTACTTAATGCGCTTGATTTCCCACACGTACCTGTTTTGAAGGAATTTCGATCGTGCGATAAAAGGTTGCTATTTTGGTTTAATGGAATTAGATTATAAAATCGATGATATGTTTTTAAGAAAGGTGAATGTTGTCAATGTGGTATCACACGATTTACACTAATGCTTGATAAAATAGTTATTGTTACACGACAACCATTTTGGCGTAAAACATACTCATAAATGATTTCAGATCGCTCAAACAGATATCTGGATGCAATAGTATAGACCCTGTGTGGGTTGAAGGGCTTAGGCCAGGGACATGCAGATTGACGGTCTGTGGGCTAAGGCAAGTGCCACGAATGCTCAGGGGCAGAACAGCGTGATTGACAATTACATATGGACTCAAACTTACTGAGTAGTTTCCTAGGAGGGGCTGTTGTTGTTGGTCTTCCAGTGGTAGTTGTTTGAGGTGTGGTGGTAGTTGTGGTCGTAGTCGAAGTCGTAGTTGTTACAGGTGTTGAGATAGTTGTTACAGGCCCTGAGATAGTTGTTACAGGTGTTGATATAGTTGTTACAGGTGTTGATATAGTTGTTACAGGCGTTGATATAGTTGTTACAGGTGTTGAGATAGTTGTTACAGTTGAGATATTTGTAGCTGTACAATCTTTCTTCTCGCAAGTCTGTACCTTGGGTGATATGCACTTGCACTCGTTACATTCCACCATATACGTATCACCTCTTTTGTAGACTTTTCCATCAATTTTACATTTCTTGCATATATTCTTATCCCCACATTCCACTTCCCCATCAGAACAGGTACACTTGTTACATTTGTCTTCGGCTTCGAACTCATCCCCCTCCTGATACAATTTGCCGTTGAAGTCGCAATATTCTGCATGTCAAAACAATAAGGTTACAATGATATTATGGTCAATAATTTTGACCAGTCTATATAAGAACTATATTAAATCTAGCTTTCATTTGTCTATCTAAGTACAAAATTGTAAATCATGTACAATCAAATATCATGAATGGTTTTGAAAAGATATACTTACTACTAGGCTTACATTCCCTTTTCTCGCAGGTTTGTAGTTTAGGAGAGATGCAAGTGCATTCGTCACACTCATCCATGTATTTCTCTCCTTTTTTGAAAACCTTTCCTTTTACTTTACACTTCTTACAGGACTTCTTGTCTGAGCAGCTTAGTTTTCCTTTAGGTTTACATTTACACTTGTTACATTTGTCTTCCATTTTGAAGACATCTCCTTCGTTGTATGTTTTTCCATTGTATGTACACGTCGTGACTTTAGAGGAAGCAGACTTGTCTACGTTAATAAAAAGAGTACAATAACGTAGACTTCCTTACAGGTGACCTATATTTCTCTTCAGGTACAAGAACTCTTTTTTTTAAAAACTGTGACATCACGAAATGTACATGCCTATAGTATGTATTGCCAGTAAACTACCTTAAAGCTAAATGTGAACACTGTTGGAGTAAATTAATGACGCTAGCGATTTAATGATGTTTGTAGCAAAAACAGAAATGACAAAAGTGCATATTTTGAGCAAGATAACGAACAGAGTTCTTGATTATCATGTGGTGTAATTATACATAGGGTGGCCCAAAACATCCAGAATTCTAATTCGGGAATTACTTTCCCGACTATGGTGGATTCCTCTTGAACTATATCTTATCAATATAATGTTAAATGGAGAAAACATTGATATACTTTAAATGCATCCACGACGTTAATTTGAGATTTCGATAAACCACGTTTTCTGTGAAGGCTTGCTTTCCCGCCAAAGCGTTCAAAGTACACTTTAAGAAATCTCTTTTTATCAAACAGACAAGTCAAGTCATTATCGTTGACGGACGAATTGTGAAAATAGGACATATCATTGAAAATACGTATGAGAGAATACAGTCTCACCCTTTTCTGGGCAGCACACTGTAAATCTACCCTTTTCATCGGCGTTACAAATATATCCCTTTGGACATGGTCTGTTCTTTTCCATTTTGCATTCAGCAATGCTATTGTCATCATTTCTAAGAGGTGCATCACAAGGCAAGGGGTACATACAGCAAACGCCATCTTTACACTTGTATGCGTTGGGGCAGTCTGATGGAATTTCACAAGGAGAATCTAAAGGATATTGTTTATTTTCTGCACATGGTTCTTGAGCAACGGCTGAAAATGAGAATTTGAGCAGAATGAATACGGCAATTAATAATTTATTCTACCTTTGATAGTGTGAATGTCATCTGTACTCATTTTATGTCTGTTTGGCTTTACTGGACAATAATGTCTTCATATAGCTATGTTTGGGACTTTTACCAAAAGCAGGATGGCCCAAGGGATAAGAGAGCCTAAAGAATAATTTCAAAAACAGCTCGACATACATATTAGACTACCAAATTGAATAAATTATTCTATTTACATTACTTTCTTTCTTCTTTTAGTTCTTTGCTTGATGTATGCAATAACTATGATATATGTCAACAAATAATAAAGCATATTGAAAATTAATTGTGGCGTTTTATGCAAAGGCGACTTCTAACTGAATTGTCAGGTCACAGGGACTATACCATTTTAAGCGTACAGTTGAATGCACGGGGTAAGGTACAACACGAGGGTGATGAAATTTAAGGAAATTTATGTTTTCATCGTTTCAGAAAGATCAGGTATAGTTTCTCGATATTTTATATGTAAGTGTCTGTAGCAGCATCCGTATACTACACTTGGAGTTTTAAGGAGATTGGAGATTTAACTATATAAATTCACTTTTGTTTGATAGTGCTACAGACATTTACATGTAAAACATCTAGAAACTAGATTCGATCTTTCTGGAACGATGAAAACATCGTTTTGTTAAAATTTCATCACCCTCGTGTTGTACCTTACCCCGTACGTTCAACTGTCACGCTTAATTTGATACACACCTGTGTAAAGGATCATTTCAAAAATAGCTGGACAAACGTATTAGACAAAATACCCTGTACATAGTAAATACTTGTAAATGAATTGTCAGTTCTGTATATTAACTAAAAACGGATGTCCTTGATGATTAGGATGAGTATTAAAATACATGCTCCCATTGTACACTTTTGGGTCACGTTGTATACACAGCTGCCTCACGTATCATTGAATATGTCCAATTATTGATTCAAATAAAATCAAATAACTGTAAATGGTAATTAATTACGGTTACTCGATTACGTGTATTCACTCAAACAGTTGAGTATTATGTGTCACGTTCCAAAACTTTATTTCACGGTGTGTCAGCTTCTCACAGTTTGGAACCCAAACGCCGCTTAAAGGAGAGATTCTGTGTAACAGAATAATGTACCAACAGAAAGGCATTTTTGTTTTGCTTGTAGTATGAGACTCGCAATCCTTGATTTTCAAAAATCTGGTAGGTCTAAAGTTCAAAATAACGGTTTAAGTATATATGAATCCCCCTGAGAGTAACCACGAGAGTAATTATAATGCAAAGGCATGGCAAAACTTTATTCAAAGAGTATTGTAATATTGAACCTAACGCCACAGTTTTAATAAAAAAAAACGTTGAAATAATTTTTTCTTCAAATTTTATGAGGTGTTTGTTTCCCTAGTCTATTATTTAACCACGTTCATTATGTCTGATTCTCCGTGATCATTTGATTACCTTTGAAACTATTGATATCTGAAAAATAACCTGACTTAATGCGAGTACATTAACAGAAACATGGGAATTCAATTGATCTTCAATGTCAATAGTAATGTTTTATTCCAAATCAATATTTGCTAATTGTGTCTTTCCAATATTCCTGTTTTTCATTCAAATATACTAACCAGTTGTAGCTATTGCGATTATGATGATCTGTAATATCCAAAATGTTTGAAATCTCGAAAACACATATCTGTAAGCCAGTGTTCGTAGTATCATTCTGAAATATTAAAGAAATATATCATAGTGTATAATCATCAACAAGGGAGAGATATCATCAAAACAATGGAAAAGAGTGAAATATAAAGCAAAACGACTGACAGATATTGACATATATAGAATAAAGTGAACATTGAATGATAAAATAGATCATAGATCAAGGCACGAAATTAAATGAAATCATGAATAATCAAAGACAACTAAAAATAAAAGTGAAACTGGTGATTTCGTCACAAAGGCGAATAAAAAACACGATTAGTAACAACGATGCCAGTGTCAACAAATACAAATATTTGATTTCTGTATTTTTTCTAGGAAAACAACATACACTTACCTAACTGTTTAGAGTCCACCCTCGCTATCTGGATATATATTAAACTAAATTGATGTCTTATAAATAAAGTGATATCGCTATATCAATTAGTAAGCAAGGATTAGCATAATTAAAAGTTGTAATTTCTGGATAAACAGTCTCATACTTTGCGAAATCCCATAATTAATCACGAACTTGTTGATATAGTAACAATTAATAGCGTGTTAATTTTTATTGCAAAGCTTTATCGGATATCATTTCAATTGATTGTTGTTTAATCCTATTAACTGCAGTGAAATTAAAATTCATCGAGATTTCAAATAAAAAGGGCCTTCAGTGCGGAATCCAATAAATCACACTTTGTGACACAACGAGGGTATGTATGCATGGGATACTTTTTGAATTCGACTTATTTATTGTAATCGGGATCTAGATGAGCGAGCGTAGCGAAATAGTATATAAATATGCTACCAATGAGCGGAATATAATATCACGAAAAACCATAGAACGTTCTATTTATTCATTTGTTCACCGAGCTCACCTCTTTATTCGCCAATAAAACTTAATAATGCATTAAAAACATTGAAAGTTGTTTATATCAAAAATCAGCAAAGATTTTTATGTGTAGTTTTGTTTTCTTGCAGTTGGCATTTGCCTCTTTTCTATGGATAAATAAAAGTCATCACTACTTTATCAGAACATGGAATACCTAAATTGATTGAGTTCAAGCATAAATCTTGACCCAAACATAACCGACTGACCATTAAATTTTCAGTTAGTTGCATAATATACCTTTAAGAAGTTAAGAATGAAGTTCAGTAAACTTTCCGATTTCTAGCTAAAACTACTTGAAATACTTAAATTCTATGTTATGCTCAAGTCACCAATACTAATATTTATTATGCACCTAGTCTAGATACTCTGATTAGTTCTAAGCTACCGACGCGAATTCGGCCATAGATGGCTTTTATTTGGAATAAAAACTCGTATTGTGTGCTAAACTTAATAGAAATGTGTATACTTAATCAAAAATAAAATAGTACCGTGGGTACTGGGCTCACAAAGTGTTGCTCAAAAGTGAATGTTGGCTAAAATGGCAGAAAATAAAAAAAAACGGATATAATTTTTGCCGAATTTTTGTAACAAGATTATTTCATACAACTACTCTTTACAGTGACATGGCTTTTTACAATGCTGGAAACCTGAAATTATTTATGAAGCTAGCAAATGGTCCAAAAGTGAATTTTGCGAGACAAAATGGCGGCCATTTTGAAAATAGGCAAGCTTTTGAAGCAGGAGTCACAGGGGTTTAATCTATATTGATGTTGAACAAAAATAACTTAAAACGGGAATCTTATCGACAGAGGATTTAAAAAGAGCAAATTGTTGTCAGACCGAGGATTTAAAACGTGCCACTATTTTGGACTGATTGAGAGACAGATGGACAAATCAATGTTAACTAAAATGGCTGAAAACAAAAAAAAGGATATTATTTTTGCCGATTTTTTGTAACAAAATTATTTCATACAACTACTGTTTACAGTGACACGGCCTGAAATTATTTGTAAGGCTGGGAAATGGCCAAAACTTAAATTTTGCAAGACAAAATCCGTTGGATTTTGCCCCATCTTGCCCATCGAACCCACCGAATCCCATGTGGGACCTCATGGGACGCGATTGGGCAAAATCCGACGGAGTCCGTGGGAGTCGATGGGGCAAAATCCAAAGAAGTCCTATACGGGGTCACACGCAATGTTATGTCTATGGAGGTCCCAACTTGCCCCATTGTGTATATTAGGCTTATAACTTCCATTAATTTGGCAACCTGAAGATTTCATAAGTAACATGTATCATATCCAATTCTACTTAAGTTTGAATCATAATTTTGTTCGTTAATAGACTAGATGTGAGTAGAAATAATTTTGATTTACGTCATCAAAAATTAAATATTCAGTCAAACTATGTCATATTTGGAATCTACATGTAAAATTACATCTAAAAAAGAGTTTATCAACTTTCCCCATAGACCCCATGTTGTAAATCACCAAAAGTGAAATATCTTTTCTTGTGTTGGTCAGATAATATTTTCCTTAACTGGACATATTTTAAGTATAACCCTAAGATACATAAGCACGGGTAGGATCTAAAGTCCCACTGTGATTTAAAGGTCCCGAGTAAGTTTTATTTATATCACTTTGGAAAATGGATCAAAAATAATGCAAATATTTATTAACGTTCTTTGATACTCCCTGACATGGAAGAAAAGGGCGTCAACATGCACGTTTGCATAATTTACTGTTCATATATTACTTTTATCGTTAAAATAAAGGCAATAAATACGATTTACACACTCCGTAATAAATATTGGATCAATATGGTCTGTATTTATAAGTTACTGTACAATTACTCCTGCCATTGGGGTCGAAATACAAATAGTGTTCAAGTGGCCCCGCTTAAAACAATAGGAGGCCCCGCTGAAAACATGAGCAGATTTCACGACTACCCGCTTCGATCGCGAGGAAAGCTTCATTGTTATTCCATGAAGATATTGACCTTCTTAATGTAAAAGTACACAAACGTGCCAATCAAATAACATCATTCTATGGCAACATCGCAAATATTTCTTCTGCAACTTCAGGCAGTTTGATCCATGTTTCAGTGTCGTGCGTCCGTTCAAACAATGTCTGACACCGAGACAAATTCGTGTTGTCCTATTTTAATGACGGGTTTACGTACAAGGAGATTACTCATCTTCTTGGCTTTCGTCATGACATAAAAATCGGTGAAAGACAGCTTAAGAGAGATTTGAAAAGAATGGGGATTTCCAGAAAACTCAACAAGTCATCCTTGGAAACTGTTGCATCAGCTGTTATGGAAGAAATGCAACATGGCACTTGTAGTTCATGGGGTATCGAACGATGCGCGGAAAAAATTAACAAAATACATGGGTTCAGACATTGTTTTGTCATGGCCGTCTTTTTCGTCTGGAAATTAGGTCATGAAACGCCTAATTTCCACCGCGGTGGGTGAAAATAATTTCCACCGCGGTGGGAAATAATTTCCACCGAGGTGAAAATAGAAAAAAAAATCTAATTCAAAAATCAAAAAAAATTAATTCAAAAAAACTAAAATTCTTAATTCCGAAAAAAATCATGTCCCTTATAAAGCTTCGTATTTTTCATTCCTCGCAATTTCAGCGGCAACTTGCTCGCGACTTTTAAATCATAGCGGGGCTTTGGATACTACCCGTGATAAGGGTAATATGAAAAGTGAACCACTAAAACTGATTATTCAAGTTTAGAGAACTTCGTAATACCCTGCCATGTCATTTCCCCCTGAATTAGCCACGTGCACCTGATGGCGAAACGGTAACTACCTACTCGCATCTGAGTAATTTGGTAGTACCTGATGCAGTCTTCTTTAGCATATGCAACAATATTTGCAATTCGTTAATGTTTAGAGGTTATCTCTCAATTTCCGCCTTTGTATTTTGTTTAGCCGTGACCTCTGCTCCCGTTCACAATGGAGACTGGACGCAGATGGCAATAATGGTAAAACAATAGGCGTAGGGTGATGAAATGAATTTTAATGAGATGGCAGTGTAGTCAACCCTTTTATATGAGAGATTGGTGATGTTAAGCTAGCACTGTTTTGAAGACGTGTATAATGTTGGTGACATATCCACTATTTCACATTACTGGCCCTTAGTTTGACCGATTGGGTATCAAAGTTTGAGGGAAATAATTGGGAAATAAAAAGGTTCCACCAAGTTAAAAAAATAAAACTTAAATGTGAACATTTGGACAACAATTTTTTGGGGGTAATAATATTGCACGTTTTCGTTCAAATTCTCCCAAATGCGTATGACTTAATATAACCTCCAAATGTACAGATCTAGAGAGTTGGTTTCTCTATTTGGCTGGATTAATTAGATGATCCAATTGAACATCGAATTCATGAATATCATATCGGTGAAAGGATAAGTCAGAAAATGAACAGTCAGGATATCGGTTAAGAATATATCAAAAATGGCAAAGTCTGGAACGTGTATACAATATTTCTTTATTTAAACTTTTTGCAATAACTTATTTGTGTAGACCCTATTTATGCACGAGTTCAACTACTGTCTGTGTTCATGACTAAACTCTTTCAGTATTCATAGCTGTTTCTTCACGTTTATCTTTTTCACTGAGATCAGCCTCGACATTTTCTCGTTCCGCCTTAGCTCTTTTCCTCTTCCTGTTCCATTTACTGCAAAATGAAAATATGCATGATTAAAACTTGAAAGGTCTGACCTGACGTATATTCGTCAGACAGGCTCTAGTAACGTAAAAGAACATCAGTGTTCAAAAGAAAGAAAAACTGTTTCACATTTGTTGCGCTTACAACTGCTATTTCTAGGTCATTTCATTGAGTAAGGGCTGTATCAATGTGCGTATACGGACGGATATCAGTTATTGTAGCTATAAATTCCAACGTGATACAGCCTAAATAATTTCTGTTTCCTCGGACACATAGATTTATGTTTCTATACTACTTTGAAATATCCCAACTTTCTTCCTCAATTATTCCATGTAATCGAAAGAGCAAAAGAACCGAACTTACTTGAAGTAGAACTGTATGACTGCCATAGCTACCCCTGACCCAACGGCGAATACAAACACAAGGGGAATGAATAAGTTCTGACTCACACCTGGCTTCCTTGTCGGTGCTGGAATGGAATTGGAATGAATAAGCATTAGAAAACACTGATAGATAACTTGAAAGGGACAGATATAACGTGCACGTGTATGTTCAGTACGTTTTTCAGATGTGATATTATGAACTTGCCTACCTTGGGTACTTGTCTGCCCAGCTGTCTGTGCCACAAAAGCTGAAAATAAAATTAAAGTAAAGTAAGATTTAAAGTAAATTAATCTTTGGTTATGCTGTACTCTTTAACTTTAAAATAAACTATAATGTATTGAGTCCAGTAGGAGACCGGGGTCCATCGACGCTAACTTAGGATCATCGATACATTATACTGTATGTAACATTTATTTTGAAATCTAACATGAATCCTTTTTGAATAATTTTCTAGAAGCGATCACTAAATGAATTAATTTCATCAATGTTCTCGCTGTCACTATTGTATAGCCCTGTCACTATTGTATAGCCCTGTCACTATTGTATAGCCATCTCCCACATATCGTATACAGATGTCTCGGACTGGAGTGTTATGTAGAAAAATAATGACTTGGATATAATAAACAAGTGAAGGAGAATATCGCCTGACTTGTTCACGGCGCCATCTTTCGAAATATAAAACGTCTGATATCCTTCATACTCATTTCGTTTTATGGCTGTTCTATGGTTCTATATATATAGTTTGTTTGGAAAAGTTTTTTTGTAATGACAAATTGGCAGTTATTTAATAGTTCCGTATTGCATTCCCTCTTATCACAACGCAGCCACGTCAGGAAGGCATTTACAAAGTTGGTGTATTTAACAATCGCAATTTCGACCACGGTGATCTACTCATTAATATGTCGATTCAAACAAACATACCTCAGTACTTGAAAAGGGGTATACCGTTTTACAAGTCATAGATACAAGAAAACGCAGCTAGGTATGCCATGGTATAGAGGTTCGACACATTTGAAAGAGGTTAGATTTTTCAAATGGATACCTTTAGAGTAATGCATACTTACCTGTTAAAAAATATAAAGCTGTAACTACATGTAGTTTGTCTGCCATGGTCTTGTTTATATATATTACTCCTAACACGTTGTTTGTCCCTATGATAGCTTTACTACATATTTCATGTTTATTGAAAATATATTATTCGAATTATAGACTTATCGAGAGAAAGATTGAACTCGGTGAAGTTTGGTCCTCCTTATCTATGAACAAATGTTATAAAATTGAACCTGTATCAGGAGGTTTGCATTATTTAGAGTAATTACACCATGGACTGTTGTTAATAATTAATTGTCAACTGAATGATTGATGCGCCATCTTTATGTAACAAATATGTTGTTGTTTTTTTTATAATTTTTTTTATTTCAAAGAATAAGCATGTTAAAGCAATTGCAAAAAACAATTACAATACAGTTACATGGTAAACATACAATTTACAATTTTACAATACAGTATTGGTTAAGCGTTATTCTTTTAGAAATGTTATAACATTGGCAATGCCAAATGGAAAGTCCAAAAAATATGTTACAGAACACAGCAAAAAAGAAAGCACATGAGTAATTTGGAAGTAAACCCCAACTATCCCAAAGTATGATCCAACGTGAAAAGAAACAATGTCTATAACCTTTCCCCACAATTATCACAATCCAAGACCTCAACACAAAGAACATTTTATTCATACTGAAGTCAAAATACATTTTGAAAGATTTTAGATTAAAAGCAATTCTCATAACATCAAATACAGATTCAAATATTCATACAAATGTAATTTTTATGTTATTTATTTTCAGAAAAATCCAAGAATCACCATTACACCATGTGAAAACATCCATAAGGGCACGTTTATAATGCATTTAGCAAGTTATAAATTTTATAAACTATTTACAAGAAACAAAAGCACGCTTTCAAAATATATATGGTAAACACTATGATGTCCTTCATAAATGGGCATAATGCATGCGTCCACGTGTTTAATCTTCTTAGGACCGAACAGACTTTTGCATTCAAGTTTTGATTCCATTCTGCGCCACTAGACTCTCCATTTCAACAGGTTCTGCGTTCTCCTTGAGACCATAAGGATCTCCATCTTTGTTATCAAGGTTTTGCGAGCCCTTATATAGTAAAAAAACAAAAACATATTGTAAAGTGACATGGTCGAGAGTATCATTTAATATTTTGATGTGATCAGCGTGCATAACGTAGTTGGGGTGTAAAATGCATTCTTTGAACAAACAATTTCCACTTGGAAGGATATCGATGTATTGGAGATCGTGTCCAAGTATCGACAGTTTTGAGAAAATGAGTTGATTAATGGTCCCCCTAGATCAAAATTCCGCAAAATGCAATTGACTTCGCTTTACCACAAATGTTGAAAACTGGAACGCATCCTTTATCAGGAGTATAGGAAAGTCCATATAAGTATGAGAAAGTTAATCAACCATCTTCCTTTGAAAGCACCAATCATTGTTATGGTGTGTTTATTGGCACTTACTGTAATCTTACTCCATAACCTCGCCCTGCATGATTCAGGAAGGCAACAGAAAACTAAATCCGGCCATTTAATATACGTCGCCTCGTCAACATCGTCTTTATCACTCAATCCTACAAACATGTGACAATTCATGAAACGAAAGACAGGAAACTGACGACATGATTGAAGAACTGATATTACATGTGGCCCTGAATAACTAAATAGTGTTTTTTTATCCGTTGCCTTTGCTGTTTTAAACACTACCATTTCCTATTAACTATTTGAAGAAATGATATTACATGTTGCCCTGACTGACTAAATAGTATGGTATTATCCGCTACCTTTGCTGTTGAAGAACTGATATTACATGTGGCCCTGACGGACTAAATAGTGTAGTATTATCCGTTGCCTTTGCTGTTATAAACACAACCATTTCCTAACTATTTGAAGAAATGATATTACATGTTTCCCTGGCTGAATAAATAGTACCCTGCGTACAGAGTCTAGTTAAACGAAGCTCTCTTTTAAGAAGTGAAGTCAAACGAATGCAAAGGGTAAATAAATAGTGTGGTATTATCCGTTGCCTTTGCAGTTATAAACAATTCTATTACCTGTTGCCTAATTTAGGTATCAGTTTAATGAAATACTGCCAATACCTGTCAATAAGCTTACGAGCATCCCAATTGTAAACGTCACAATGATTCCTATCAAGCCATACCAGGTGTAGGAAATGGAGTAAAACTTGTACAACGGTCCCCTGGAAAATGTAATAATGCCCATGCATTTTAAGATAATCAAAATGGACACTTCAGTACTGATAATATACGCCAAGTACGACGCACGTTTATACAAATAACTTATAATATATAATGTAGTACGATATACCGACTGTACCGTATATATATATAAAGTATCGTAATTAAGTATAGAAGACATTAGTTTTCATTTGTGGTAGTAATAAAATAATGTTGTCTTACACCACGGCCTCTGGTGCAGCTGGAACGGTAGTTGTATTGATATTTAACAAGCCAGTCTGATACTCTCGGGTATAATCCGGCGTTGTATTCGTTTCATTCCATATATCGCTTATATTCCCAACATAACATCCATTAGTTGACGCCGGAGGAAGGATGTGTCTCGTGGATTTGATTGTGAAGGCGCCACCGGCAAGCCAAAGTAAGAACGCCAACCCGACCCATCCACCCACTGTTACACCCTGGATTAATATAGTTATAAACAGTTGTTTGTTCCTTTTTAAACAATAGTAACGGCAAAGAATTAATGATTATTATTATGACCACAAAACATTCTGAAACGCATTAGAAAATGTGTTCTTTTACTCCATTTATGTTACATGTAACATTTCAATGTGGTTAACCTTCCAATTGCAGCTGCTCGTAAACGCCCCGAGACAATACATGCCAACGATTGACCCTCCTGCTGCACCAACCAATGCCAGGGTAACCTGAAAGGAAAAGGTCCACTCTTATTGCATACATTTTCATTTACAACTTTTACTAAACTATACCTTTACTATGAGATTATATCCTTTGATATTCCTATATTTCATATGGATTTGAAATTGTACGACTTCAGAATGTTCAGCACACTTCGTAATTTATGGAATTGTTACATCTTTGAGGTATCTGTTGCCAGGACTACGATATAGACCAGTCATTCGATTTTTGAGGAGTACTACAAGGTAGAATGTCCCGATGAACCCATATATGAGATGTAATTTATATATACTTGCAAGATTTGACCAGGAATCATCATAGCTATGAATGCCATCACGCTCGACAGTATCCCGAACACAATCACTAAAATAATCCAAAATGTATTTTTTAATCAATTTGGACATCTTGATTTAAACAGGATAATAGGCCCATTTATTATGCACCTCATTAAAATACTCAAATCTGATTGGTTCTTAGTTGCTTGTAATTTGGCAATACTCTGCTCTCTGAAAACTGCCGGATATTTTTTTAATATCTGACCCTTTCGAGAAAAAGGGTCGGATATTTTTTTCAATGTTTTTGCAACATTCCCACTTCAGAGTTTTATTTCTTAATAACTGGAGTACTACTTAAAGCTTACATCTGAAACTGGCGGAAAATAGAAGAAAAAAATGCACTTAATCAATCACAATTACCCTTATCATTCAAAAGTTACACATAATTCTGCAAGAACGTCTCGAATAAATAAAAATTAAATTCCCGGGGCAAATATTTTCATCCAGTGTAGCGAATAAACTGGCCGGAAGTCGTCTGAGTTTTGAAAGAAATAATAAATAAATGTCAAAATAATGTCAACTAAACGACAGTTTAAGCCTGTACTCCAGTAAGTACTCCACTTAACTTTGATTTTTTCGAAAAAATATTGGGCTCGGCTGCCGCCTCGCCCAATATTTTTTCTCGAATAGGTATTCTGCCATATCCAGCTCCTGATCATCCAGTATTTGTTTAATGTCTTGACTCTGGTATACTTTTATTGACAAATCTCAAAATCATTTGTTATATAAGCAAAACATTGGTCGGACATCTTACCCATTCCCTTGGTGATATTTGTTGCCCTAGCAGGGGTTGTGTGAGGGAAGCGTTCTTTAAGGAAGTCTTCCCATATGTTTGCAGCAAGGGAATTCAAACCTGATGATATCGTGCTGGAAAAAGATGTGTGAAGTGCAGGTAATTGCACAACAGTCTTACTGAAATTAATGCGAATGGCACCGTCAGAGGGGGAAATGAAAATAAAAAGAAACCATCTATAATTTATTTTCCCGACTGTTTGCAATAATGGGAATTTTAACTGGAATTGTCAATATGGTGCTTGCTTGGAGTGAAAGCTCAGGTTAAAATTGGAATATTTTTTTCTTAATCACATATATCATTAAATAGCACTGCATGCTCGTACGACACATCGTCAATTCTATCGTTAGTCAACAACAGTTATCTTTGGTGTTAAGAATTTCACCTGAGTGCAGCGCTAAACATAGCTGCAAGGAATATCCCCGGCACGCCCGGGAATCCAAGTACGTCCATCACAAAGTAGGGGAAGATCTAAAAATTGTACCGATGCCAGTAAGATAAACCAGTAAACAACAATAAGATTAATATTTTTCTTAACCACAGAGTGGAGGTTCTCGCAAGTTATAATATAACTATGATATAGAAACTCACATGAACAGAACCTTATTTTATGGTTTATAGGCTAGTTACGGATTAGGAAAATCCTGGCACACTTGCAGCAAGTGGTTTTTACTTTATATTGGTAATATAATAGATATCGTACATGGTCGAATTCGAATTACAGTTTAGACCTACCTGATTTACGTTAGTAACTGCCCCACTTGCCATAGGGTCGCATTGAATGTGGGAGTAATAAGCGAACACTGTGAGCCCTACAAGAGCACTCAGTGCATAAATCGCACATACAACGGGGGCAACTAGTAACATAGTCCTGCAAAGAACAAAATGATCAAGTACCCTGCGCGCAGAGTCTGGATATAAACTACCTCTTTTAAGAAGTAAAGTCGAACGAATGCAAAGGGTAATGATCAAGTGGTGTCACAACTAAATGCCTAAAACCATAGCCTTGACGGGAATGGAGCACATGTAATATTTGACAACGTAACATGCTTGTGACAAAACGCAATAATTGAAAATGTGTGATTTAACTTCCTTCATAAGGTTTGGACTGCTTACAATCTGGCATCTCTGAGTGACGGGGTTGCTGAAAAGCGCTGCACTCCAGGCTGGCTAACACCATACAGATACACC